GTTTTGAACCTTAAACCGCATAAACACATTTCATTACACCAAATACACAAAATAATGTTCTTTTTAGCAACGTCATATGACCCCTTTAAAGATAATGTACTCACCCCCTTGTCATCCAAGATGTTCATGTCTTTCTTTCTTCAGTCGTAAAGAAATTATGTTTTTTGAGGAAAACATTTCAGGATTTCTCTCAATATAATGGACTTCTATGGTGCCCCCGAATTTGAACTTCCAAAAAAATGTAGCTTCAAAGGGCTCTAAACGATCCCAGCCGACGAAGAAGGGTCTTATCTAGCGAAACGATCGGTTATTTTCTAAAAAAAAAAACAATTTATATACTTTTTAACCTCAAACGCTCGTCTTGTCTAGCTCTGCATGAACTCTGTTTTTTCCGTTTCAAGACAGTTCCAGAAACTCCCAACTCATTTTCTCCTCCAACTTCAAAATCGCCCAACATATAATTTTTTTATTTTTTTTTTAAATAACCGATCGTTTCGCTAGATAAGACCCTTCTTCCTTGGCTGGGATCGTTTAGAGCCTTTTGAAGCTACATTTAAACTGCATTTTGGAAGTTCAAGCTCGGGGTCACCATAAAAAGCCACTATATGGAGAGAAATCCTGAAATGTTTCCCTCAAAAAACATAATTTCTTTACGACTGAAGAAAGAAAGACATGAACATCTTAAATGACAAGGGGGTGAGTACATTATCTGTTCATTTTTGTTCTGGAAGTGAACTACTCCTTTAAGCCATAAAATAGGTTTGTATGAAGAACAGACCAAAACAGACAGTATGGCAACATGGAGTATAGCGCACAATGTATGGACTACGTTTACGATCATTTTAGTATGCTTTATGTTTTTTGGTCATTTCAGATTACTATAAACTGTGGTGGCATAAGCAAGAGATTCGTAACAATTCTACAGAAATGTATTTTTTGTGATATCACAAATTGTTGTGTTCCACGGCAAAAAAACAGCACACAGGTCTGGAACACGTACTCATGAGGGTGAATAAACAACGGCAGAATTCTCATAGTTGTTTGCTGAACTATCCCTTTAATTAAAATTCCATAACAGAATAACATTGGTCTGTGGCTCCTTCAGAAATCGTACATACTGCAGGATTTTGGTCAGAGTTCACGATTGAGTAAAAACATGTGTATGTTCAGAGGGCAAGAGAGGCCAGAATGTTCAGTCCAATCTCAGCCCACAACAGGACACTTAATCACACTAATCCATTATGTGATTCACAGAATGATGAAATCGCTGGATTAATAACTCTAATAATGATCTATTACAAGTGTGCTCTGTCACGAACCCGGTTTAGGAGAAAGCCGCTGAGATTATAGAAATTTCAGAGTGCACACAGGTGGACAGGTTGAGTCAAAGCACTGGGAACCAGCCCCGACCACACAACCGTGGAGATTAAGAAGAACCTGAACAAAACAGCTTTACAAACTCCATCAAAAACTAGAAGCACAGCGTGAACTACAGCAACGGCCAGTAAGATGTGATGAATCAGTCCATCGCCCTACAGCAGGAGGTTTAACATGCCAACACCGCACGCAAACATGCGCCTCAAGATGTGGAAATGAACACGGAAAAATCCAAATTTCATTCCCACATATCATCGCTTTCTGAAATAGAAGCGTGTTTAAAAATGAATGTGGTGCTGGAACTTTTCACAGTGGAAATACTGATTCATAGGGTGTTAGAAAGCAATCACAGAAATTTACAATCTCAGAAAAAAAGGTACAAAACTGTGACTAGGGCGCTACCCTTTTAAAAAGTACTAATATGTACAATTAAGGAACCAATATATACCATTTGTTGGTAAATAAGGTACAGAGATGTACCGTTTAGCTTTTAGTGTTCTTTGTACCTTTTTTTCAGTGTGTATGTTAAAAATGGTCTGTTCATTTTTGACACTTACCGTAGAGGGTAACTTCTTAGCAGCTTCAGTAATCACCTGACTCAGAGGCCTCCATAAGTGGAAAGCATATCGACCTAAAAGCAAATGTAATAAAGGGAAAAAAGCATTGATGGGTTGAAAAGTGTGCCACTTGATCAGACCATTTACAGAGTTAATTTCCAGGGTTAACAAAGTTGGTTTAAGGGTGAAACCAAGGACAAAACCACATTTTAGTCTTATTCAATATGTGTTAAAGGTGAGGTCGCATTTCAACTTCCCTTGGTATTTATTTGGTCAGGGTGCTGGTGAACTGCCAGCGGTTGTGGTTCGACTGTGAAGCAACACACTGAAAGTCCACAGTACTCAATGAAATGAACATATAATGCTTTCGAACATCCAGCATTCAATAAAGAAGCTGTGAAAGGCCATTGAGCGGCTCATTTAATCCAACCAAACAGTAGGTGAAGAACACACAAAATCATTAAAGTAATTCATTATGGGAACATTTTTGGATTTTCATCAAACTCAATTTTTGAGAGGAAAACGTTATTTTGCTTTTCAGCAAAAAAGCACTTGCGGCACCCTCCACTGTAATCCAAAGCCCTGCCTCTGAGCGGCGCAGACCACACACCGCCTCAGCTTTTGGCAGGAGCGCTGCCCCCTCGATGTACTGAAATGGAAATTAGCCCCCTTCCTCAAAGCGACCACAAGTGCTATTCCATCCTGACCTCACACAGCTATGGGTGGAAGACTTGATGATTAACAATGATTAACTACCATGCAGCAGTAGGGAGGACGGCAGAGACACCTGCCAGAAAAGAATCAAACGTAAACAGGCCGATGACAAAGTCGCTTAAATTATTTGGCCACATGCGGCCGTTTAAAGTCACTTTGATTCCTTTAATGCTAGAGGCCGCGTTGACCTCATTAACCAGGGTGAGCTTCATCTGGGGGCTTGAACAAACACTCACAGTAAGAGTGGCTTAACCATCACCCTCATCACCGTCGCCATCATCTCGAGTGCTTCCAATCCTTTAGAATCACATCATAAATATCTGTGGGCAGCTTTAACGTACGGAAAGTTTAGCTAAATATTTTAAGAAGACAAAGGAGGAAAAAACTTTTATTACATTATACAATGGCTACTCTATCCCACTGTGAACCGCAACATGAGGGATTTTAGCTTACAAACATCCTGCCTAGAAACATAGTCTGCGCCAGAACGCAAACACGAAAGCTTCGCCAACACGGTGTTCCAAGAGTGCTGATATCTAGTTCAACAGCACTGGGACTTTTCACTGTTGATATCACTTTACTTGTCTGTGTTTGTGCTTTCTAGACAGACCGTCAGTCTGTGTATTAGTGGTGGGGAGCTGTCACTGATTCATTTAAGCACACTCATTCATTCGGGATCGAAACAAGTGATTGTCTTTATGAGTGAGTATTTGAATTATTCCCTCAACTGTTTTGCTCTAGCACATCAATTAATTTAGGACTGAGCTAATTGATGAGTGTTTTTATGAGTGTGTCACTGAATCATTTACTAAACCGATTTGTTCAAACACACCGATACATTCAGGATCAAAAAAGTTGCCTGGGTCACATTCACTAATAATATTGTAGATTACTTCATATTTGCACACACAGGAGAGCTTCTCATGAAAAATGTATTTCTAATTCATAACATGGATGTATGCGCATTCATTTGTACTTACAGGATTAGTACTTTCAGAATAAAAATGTCCTGATAATTTACTCACAACCATGTTATCAAAGATGTTAATCTCTTTCTTTCTTCAGTCGAAAAGAAATTACGATTTTTGAGGAAAACATTGCAGCTTCAAAGGGCTCTACACGATCCGAGAAATCGGGGAATAAGGGTCAGCCGAGGAATAAGGGTCTTATCTAGATAAACAACCAGTCATTGGCCTAAATTTATTTTTGACTGAAGAAAGAAAGAAAGAAATAAAGAATGTTTTTATTCTGGAAGTGAACTAATCCTTTAACCTTGGCTTGAGTACTCGACATGAGTGACCATGCGCCTGAGGTTAATATTTTTTCCTTTATAGCCTTTAATTACTTTTGGTGGCAAACATACAACACTTTCTAAAACTGCGCACTTGCCAAAGAGCACATGCACAAAGATCCTCAAGCGATGCTGTCCTCAAAACCAGTTCAATAAACACCTTTTATACACAGACCCAGACTACAGAACTCTCATTAGCCAGCCCTAACCATAACTGTGTTTTTACCAAGCGGCAACCTTCTCTCTTGTGAAACCAACACGGAAGTGACTAAAACTGCAATTCTCTTTGCCCATTTTTGATTATCCGGGAGTGACGCGCTGCCAAGATGGCGACGGCTGGCTCCGCCTACTTTAGGCTTCAAAAACGCTCTTCGGAAACCTACGGGTGACGTCACGGACACTACATCCATGTTTTTATACAGTCTATGGTTTTTACACAGAGAAACCTTGCAGCTCGAGTTTATTAACACAGCTTTTCTTACTCTTTTACTGTAACGTGATGACATAGTGATGTACGAAATTTCACCTTAACATGATTATGAGGCCAAAAAATGGTAGGAACAACAGAAACCTGAAATGAAGGTCCTGAATGAAGGTTTCGATCCTGAATCGAAACAAGTGACTGTCTTTGTGAGTGAGTAACTGAATCATTTACTCAACTGATTTGATTAAACACACCGATTCATTCAGAAATAAAACACCACTAATGTGCTCTGCTCAGACATGCAACAGTAAATTCTGCTTCAAATCCATTTGGAAATATTTTTAATGGCAAAGCAAAAAAAGACAAAGTAACAGGCAAAAGTGCATTTAAAATGTAAGTTACTCAATACTAAATTCTTGTTTATTGAACTGCTGCATAAAAGCAATAACACACTCACAATTGTGCTAATGCTGATATTTAAAACATCAGCTCTCTTACTTGTGTGATATCACTTAATTCTGACACGTTTTGGAACTCAAAGGAACATGAAATTGAGTTTGCATGGCAACAAGCTTGTATGCTTTGCTCTTAAAAACTATTGCAATTTGCTGAGGCTAACACTATCGTGTGTCATAACATGACAATATTGCGTAAAGCAACTAAATGTAAAATTTGTCACATGGATAATGCTATTCAATTGCTTATCACAGTCAACCCATGCAAGAAAATACAAGCAATCCAGTCTCCTCTGGAGTAACCTGAGGTTGAGCACTACCTCAAAAGCACAATGGTGATCAATCATCAGTTTGAACCGGTAGCCTTTGGTTCTCAGCCCAGAGCTTTAACCACTAGGCCATACCACACAAATTATATAAATGCATGTAGCATCTGCATGTGACACGAGTTTTAATAACACGCAGATCTCCAAATGGATGCATACACAGGTGTCCAAAGCAGATGTGCTCACCTGCAAACCCTGCCGCTGCAACTCCCAGCCCCACTGCCACCAGACAGCCACCCTGAAACACACACACAAGCATCACATCACTATGATAATTAATAATAAACACAAGTCAATCGCTGGTAGAGAAGGATTTTAAGCATTAGACGAGGCACATAAGGTTCTCCCATAGCAGATCATTACAAATTTAAAAACCAGACGAGACTTCCACTGGAAACGTAAGATTCTTCCTAGAACTGTTTTTGTTCATTCTAAAGAGTGTTTTTCCTGCATCTGAAAAATCCAAAAATTCCATAGACTTCCACTGACTGAATGTTCAGTATGACTGATGAATCATGCTCCAAATGTCATATAGTTCAGCTGTAAACACACAGGCCCTTTAACCTTTAAGATGTTCTTTCTTTCTTTCTATCTATCTATCTTCTCAGACAATACCCCAAAATTAATAAAAACACCCAGAATGCCCCAGCTACTACCTCAAAATGCATAGCAAAGACCTAGAATGCCCTAGAAACCACCAAGAACACCTTAGAGACCAATTGGTATCCATAAGGTGCATATAACCTTTTAACTTTCAAATAAGGCTTTGACAAACAAGATTGGCTTGAAAAATGACTATATTTATTAAATCAACTTGTACTTATAGCTTTTTGTGGGCCATAAGGTGTTAATTTCCCATGTCACAACACTTACATAATCATTATTGGGCCATTTTTGTCAATGCATTCGTTTACATTAGGTGTTTGGCTATTGATGTAACATTATACTTGTTATAACATCTCTGGTTAAAAAAAAAAAAAAAAAAAAAAAGGAAAAAGTCAACATGACAGACAGCGAGCAAACGAAGGAAAAGTATTGTGAGAATAACTCCCCTAGTACTTCAAACCCTCAGAATCAGCCAACACGGTAAGCACAACAGAGAAATATCATGAATTTGACTCTCATACTAGGTTTATAAACGTTTGATATAATAATAACAATAGCTCTATAAAATAATATATATGATCAAAATAAATATATGTACATTTTTAACATATATCGTTATTTCGATGTGTTTGAGCAATCGTTTTGGCGATTAAATATACATTTATTGCTAGTTCTTTCTCTGTATACAAACCAGAAGCTACTTTAGTTTCACTTTCGTTTCTGTAAAAACATTCCGAAGAAGCGAAACTCAGATAGGAATATGTACCATGGCAACGGAGTCCAAGATTACAGCATTGTGAGGAAGGCCAGTTTGTCTTGGCTCACATTTTCCTATTTATCTCTCTTCGACTCATTAGAGATGGTAAATGACAACATTAAAACACATAAATAAATAGGCTAGTCAAATATCATTAAGAGACTAAACAAATGCAACAATCCTCTGGTGGACAGTACAAATAGGAGGTCTTCAATATGTTTTGAGTAAATGTCTTGGCTAAATTTACCAACTGTTTATAGCCTATACATTTTAGAGGAAGCCGTGCATATAAAGGAAATGAAATAAATCGAAGCAGCAACATGACGGACAGCGAGCAAACGAAGGAAAAGTATTGTGAGAATAACTCCCCTAGTACTTCAAACCCTCAGAATCAGCCAACACGGTAAGCACAACAGAGAAATATCATGAATTTGACTCTCATACTAGGTTTATATACGTTTGATATAATAATAACAATAGCTCTATAAAATAATATATATGATCAAAATAAATATATGTACATTTAAAAAAACATGTTTTTCTTAGTGTGTGAAGAACGTTTAAAACTCAAAACAAACGTTTTACTATAATGAACATTTTTTTTGCAATGAAAAGTGTTAGTTAGATGCTAAAGGTTTATTTTGTTTGTTTTTTTTATTTTTAAATGAATAGTTCCTCCAAAAATTATAATTTGCTGAACATTTACTCACGCTCAGGCCATCCAAGGTGTTGGACAGATGTGAACAGATTTGGGGAAATTTAGCCTTACGTCACTTGCTCACCGATGGATCCTCTGCAGTGAATGGGTGCCGTCAGAATGAGAGTCCAAACAGCTGATAAAAACATCACATTAATCCACACCAAGTGTCCTGTGAAGTCAAAAGCTGCATGTTTGTAATAAACAAATTTATCATTAAGATGTTTTTAACTTTTAAATCGTTGCATCCAGCTAAAATATGAGTCCTCTGTCCATATTATTTTCTCCAGTGAAAAAGTCGCCTCGTCTGAATCAGAAGAGAAATATGTTTTTGTATGCAAGACAAAAACAGTTGTAAACAAAAATGTCAATGGATTTTGATGTGTGAGGACAACAGGGATGGCCTAGAGGAAGAGTTATGGATTATTATGGACTCGTATTTTGGCAAGAAGAAACGGTTTAAAGTTCAGACTTCTTAATAATGGGATTGTTTCTTACAAACATGCAGAATTTCACTTCACAAGATATTAATTGATGGACTGGAGTCGTGTGGATTATTGTGATGATTTTATCAGCTGTTTGGACTCTCATTCTGACGGCACCCATTCACTGCAGAGCAAGTGATGAAATGCTAAATTTCTTCAAATCTGTTCTGATGAAGAAACAAACTCATCTATCTTGGCCTGAGGGTAAGCAAATTTTATTTTTGGGTGAAATATTCCTTTAATCCAGTGGGGCCTAATCCTGTTGCTACAACCTTTGATCAGCTACAACCCTGATCAAACACAACTTAACCAGCTGATTACAATATCGAGGAGCACACGATAATTACAGACAGATGTGTTTGATCAGGGTTGGAACTGAAACCTGCTGGTAGGTAGATCCAGGAACAGTATTAGGCTCCTCTGCTTTAATCATCCACTCCGTGAAATCTGTCAACTCCAAATTCCCAAAATCTGCTGACTGACTCTGACTTTCGGCATCTAGCTTTGACTAAGGGTAGATGAATTAAGTAGTCATTTAGTAGCATGCCCTTTGCAAACTTCCATTTGCCAGCCCTGATCTTCAGCCATTGTCACAAACCCTATTTCTGTGTTGAAATAAAATGCATTTCTCTCTCTGCAGTTGCACAGAAAGAAGAGGAGGAACTGAGGAGATTGAAAGAGGAGAACCGCCCTGGTCCCATTCAGCTGGCTCCAGAGAGACTAGGTAATGTGGAGATGAAATGTATAGAAGTCCCGATATGAAAAAAGACACAAAGCAATGAAAAGAACATCTAAAGCTGCTAATGTATTCACTCTCACAGGTGGTGCAGTATCACAGGCAGAAGTCAGACAAAGACAGCAGATGGAATCACGCCAGTCAAAGCTGAAAAAAAAGGTTTAGGAGTACCTGCATCAAATTTCTGGTTCCTTTCCAAAATACTTGTGGTGTGGTGCATACTTACAGTACATTTAAATATCTTTACAGCTTCAAAAAGAGGAAATGGATCAAAAGAAGAGACAGGCAGAGGAGGAGGAGAATGAGAAGATGAAGGCCTTACAGCGAGAGAAGGTACAGCTCAAGAAATTGTTTACATCTGTTTTTTTATAGCATTTCTGCAGGGCATTGTGTTACTCTCATGCATCTGCAAAACTCCATATGCTCATCTGGCTTGTGTTTGGATTCAGTGCTTTTTTATGATGCCTTTGTAATTCAGACTTTATAACTCCAGATGTCACTGCAGGCAACTTACATGTTATGTTCTTTGCAATTAAATACTATATTAGACTTCAGCCTTCAATGCTGCTGCTGCATGAGCTTTGCGTGATTGATGACTCTAATTATTTCAGCAGCCACACTTCATTTGCTAAAACATGCTCCGGTCACTGTTTGGCCATTCTCGTAGTGTAATACTGGTTTACTTTAGGGATCTCTGGATTATAGATAAACTTGGAATACTGGAATACTGGAAATTAAAAACAGTTGAAGAAAAAGTTTTTAATTAGATTAGATTTAACTTTATTGACATTGTGGAAAGTACAAGTACAGAGCCAGTGAAATGCAGTCAGCATCTAACAAAGTGCAATCTGGGAATGACAAAAGAATGACAACACTATGAAAATATGTGGTTCAATTAAATATAAATATAATTTCATACAATTCAGCAAAAATTATATTTACATAATAAAAATGTAAAGATTCCGCACTATTTAAAGTTCAGTAATCAAACTATTTTTAATGAAAAATGTTGTATTAAATTAGAAAAATGCTAAATTTTTACTAGTGGTCTCAGATGGACCACACTGTATTTTTATGCATTTATATATATATATGGTCACACTTTATTTTTTAGGATCAATTCTCACTATTAACTAACTACTAACTATGACTTTTCCTCAGTAAATTTCTAATTACTGTTTATTAATAGTTAGTAAGGTAGTTGTTAAATTTAGGTTTTGGGTAGGATTAAGGGATATAGAATATGGTCATGCAGAATATATTTTGCTTTAATAAACTTCCAATATGCTAATAATATGCATGCTAATAAGCAACTAGTTTATAGTGAGAAATGGTCCCTAAACTAAAGTGTTACCATATATATATTTTTTGTCAAATGTCTTAATGACATCGAATGTAAAGAAAAAATGTGCAGTTTAGTGATAGTAGGCTATAGATGCCAAATAATTATTACACTGCAAATGACATGCTGCTTCAGAGCTGCCATTAGTTGAAGAATGAGAAAATTCAGAATACTGGTAATAGAAAAGTTTGCATGCATTTGGATAGCTCAACGGAATCAATGAATATGGACATTTCTAAATGTGTGTGTGTGTGTGTGGGGGGGGGCAAAAATACTGATTGGCCATTGGTCAGTCAGAACTAAAACTTCCACCATAAACTCACAGCACTGAATGAGCCAATCTTGCTGCTGTATGTCAAACTGGTCAGAGTGCTTAAACATTATTATACTGTAGTTCATTTGCATATTAAGCTGAAAGAGAATGAAGTATTTTAACATCTAAAGTGCACATATGTCTAATGCATTGCAGGCCACAAAGCTAGAGATGAGAAAAAAGCAAGAAGACGAACAGAGACAGAAGCTGTACCAACATGACAAGCAAATGTACGTCAACATTTTTTCTACACCTTGCCAGATTTAAAGTGTGCTTTGTTTAAAGGAGGAAATAGGATGTTAAGCTGCACTACTGGCCATTGTCCAAAAACAATAAACCTGAATGCACAGGTTTATCCTTGGCCCAAGTTCAATTAAAAATATGCCTTTTGTTTAGAGCATGTCAAGAGAGAATTCAAAACCATTGCAATGAATCCTACAAGATGCTGCTGGCAATGAAGCTTCTTTCATTATTTACCATTGTTTCATCACAAACCCAGCTTTATTTCCACTGAAGTCGAATACAAAAGAATAAATTTGATTCTCATGCTGCTCTTTATAATACAGTGAAAGCAAATGGCGACCAGAGGCTATTAAGCTCCAATTTGAATGAATGAATGAATGAATGAATTAATGAATACATAAATACACAATAATCATTAAAAAAGCATCATAATTGTAGTCCATAAAAATTCTGCACCATATTCTATAAAGTTTTTCTTCTTTAAAATGATTCCCTTTTGGCTTAACTTTTAAAGGGATAGTTCACCCAAAAATAAAAATGTTGTCATGTACTCACCCTCATGTCATTCTAAACCTGTATAAGTTTCTTTCTTATGTTGAATACAAAAGAAGATATTTTGAAGAACCAAACTGTTGTTGGTCACCATTGAGTTCCATAGTAGGGAAAGAAATACTATGGAAGTCAATGGGGATCTTCAACTGTTTGATTACCAGCATTCTTCAAAATATCTGCTTTTATGTACAAAATAAGAAAGAAATTTAGACAGGTTTGCAACGACATGAGGGTGAGTAGATGACAACATTTTCATGTTTGGGTGACCTATTCCTTTAAATCCAAATCATAAAATATAAATATGTGCATATTAATTTTGGCAAATTGTGATTGGTTACAAAACACAGAAGAACCATAGATTCAAGATTCATGTTATAAAAGATTATTGCGATTAATCACATCCAAAATAAAAGTTACTTTTACATAATATATGTTTGTGTATTGTGTATATTTATTATGTATATATAAGTGCACACACACAGTATATATTTTAAAAAAATATTTACATGTATATATTTATATTCATATAATTTATATCATATATAAATATATTTAATATATAAACGTAATATATTTTTCTTAAATATACATGCATGTATGTGTATTTATATATACATAATAAATATACACAGTATACATATATTATTGTAAACAAAAACTTTTATTTTGGATGTGATTAGTCGCGGTTAATCATTTGACAGCACTAATATATATATATATATATATACAGGTGCATCTCAATAAATTAGAATGTCGTGGAAAAGTTCATTTATTTCAGTAATTCAACTCAAATTGTGAAACTCGTGTATTAAATAAATTCAATGCACACAGACTGAAGTAGTTTAAGTCTTTGGTTCTTTTAATTGTGATGATTTTGGCTCACATTTAACAAAAACCCACCAATTCAATATCTCAACAAATTAGAATACTTCATAAGACCAATAAAAAAACATTTTTAGTGAATTGTTGATAATTTTATAATATTATAAATATTATTGGTTATTCTCCTATCCTTTTGTTTTGAAGTTGGAATTAAAGACTATTTACGTTTACTCCATCGTCGTGCGCTATTGCTACAACCACATTCCGAAACAGAATCCAGGACCTTAAACAGTTTTTCACGGCAATCCTCTTTCTCTTGTTTTTTTTCATTTTTTGCTTTTTTTCCATGGATTTACCCGCAGTCAAGCTCCTCTGCCTGGAGCAAGAGTATCGTTCCCTCAATGACCATACGAGGGATTTTTAGAGCTCGCCCATCTATCTCACTATCCGGACAGCTGCCTGTGCACGTTTTATTACGTGGGACTGAACAACGCCACTAAGCCAAAGCTGTCCAGGCATGGTCCTCGAGGAAGTTTCACTGCATTCGTGGAGTGGGTGCTGTAGGAAAATGGACTGTTTTTCTCCGTTTGCCCAGCTGAGGAAAAAATCTCTAGCCCCACAAACGAGAGTCCAGCCAGCAACCATCCACGATCGACGCGACGGAGAAGTTGCTAGAGCCCACCGGAGACGGCGAGCCTGAGCCCACTGTGACATGAGAGCCAGCGTGCAAAACCGCGACTGAGCCAATCACCCCCCCGGAGCCTGAGCCTCAAAACCGTTCTGACCAGGTGGGTGAACCCGCCCACACTCCCACCGCTGAGGGTGAGCTGCAAATGGACATTATTTTGAGGAACTGATGGACATTTTTCAAGATAACTTAATAGACTGGTTTGGGGAGGTAATACCCAGTGATCCTGAGTCTCCTATGTCTCCTGTGTCTCCGCTGGTTCCGTTCAGCCCCGAATCTCCTGTGTCTCTGCTGGTTCTGTCCAGCCCTGAATCTCCTGTGTCTCCGTTGGTTCCGCCCAGCTCCTGTTCTCCTGTGCTCCCTCCCAGCCTCCCTCTCCCGCCTCCTCTCCTAAAACCAGCCAGTTCCTCAGCCCTATCTCCGCTGGTGCCTGTCAGTCCCTCAGCTCACCCTCAGTCAGCACCATCTGGGCGCTCTGATCCACCTCGGGACTTCCAGTCTCCAGCTCCACCTAGGCATGAGGATCCCCTGTCATTGCCTCCAGCCTCCGAGTCCTAGACTCCACCTCGGTCCTTCGACCCATCGTCTCCGCCTTGGTTCCTAGCTCCCTCGTCTCCACCGTGGCCCGTCATCCCACTGGCTCCACCGGGCTCCCTCGTCCCTCCGGCTCCACCTTGGTCAGTCGTCGACCATCCGCCACCTCGGGACTCCACTCCTCTGGCTTCACCTCGTCACTCCATCCCTCTGGCTCTGTCAGGCTCCTCCTTCCCTCTGGCTCCACCTTCATCCTGGGTCGCGCCGTCTCCATCGCTTGTCCCCAGGGTATCGTCTGCCAATCCTCCACCATGGCTCCTCCCTCCCTCCCTCGACTCCGCCCTGGGGCCTTGTCCTGGCTGGTCCCTAGACCAACATCTGGGTCCTCCTGCTCCTGGCTTCCCCTTGGCTCCTCCAACCCTCCACTCCCCCTGGACTCATATAGACTAATATAGTTTGGTTCTGCCCCTCTCTGGTTCTTCGTCCTCCTCCAGAACCCCCGCCCTCCTTCCTCTGTTGGATTCTATGAGGTGCGAGGACGCGCCTTCCTGGGAGGGGGCGAACTGTCACGGTTATGGACTTTTGTTTGTGTTCCTGATCTCCAGTCTTTTGTTCCTTTGACCTAGTTTCCCTTAGTTGCCCTGATTAGTTCATTCTGTTCACCCGTGTAGCTTCCATCACCTTGTTAATCATCTCGTTTGCTCCTTTTGTTTGCCTGTCTTTATAAGCCTTCAGTTTCCGTCTACTTGTCGTCCTGGATTGATGTTTATGAAATGGATTATGTGAGTTGATGTGGATTAGTTCTCCTGGTTATTCTCCTGTCCTTTTGTTTTGAAGTTGGAATTAAAGACTATTTACGTTTACTCCATCGTCGTGCACTATTGCTACAACCACGTTCCGTAACAATGATATTATATTAATATATATTAAATATATATTAAATTCAATTAATATTTAATTATCTATAAAATATATATTTATATATTATTACAAAAATTAACTAATTAATCACACAAGTTGGTGTAAATAATCATGATTAATTACACCTAACATTAAAATGTTATATAATGTTCACATTAAATATTCAAATTAATGTGGAAACAGCATTATTGTAAATGTTAGATATTTTATATACTGATACTGATGTCTATATTATGTATATTATTTTTAAATTAATTGTATTGTTTTTAACAGATGAATGAGATTTGAGAGCAGTCAAGACAGTCGATGAAAAGTAACTTAAATTTCAGTCTTTTCCTCAGATGACTTGCACAGTACATGTTTTGTTTTGTTTTTTATTTCTGGGAGAAAGAAAATCATATGGGTTTGGAACGACATGAGGATGAGTAAATGACGACAAAATTTTCATTTTTTGGATGAACTATCCCTGTAATCACAATTATGTCCCTTCCTCCTGCAGGAAAACCAAGGAGTTTCTTCAAAGAATTGAGAGGTCCAGCAGTAGCGTTTCTATGGCAGCAAGCAATTCCATACCAGCATCATCCTGGGTAAGACAAAGGCCAAAAATGCACTGTGTGCTCTATAGGCCTGAGTTCAAGCCTCTTGTGAATAGCTGTGGCACTGAGGTTACAGCCCAAGGCACTGGAATAATTCACACCAATTGATCTGTCTTTGATGCATGTTTTCAAAGCAAACAGTGCTCGCTCGGGAGCTTTCCTTGACATGGCACACTGGACTGCAGCAAAGAGTTGGCCTGCTGCAGAGCTCGGTCCCCTTCAATTATCTCCTCATTAGCCTCACACCGGAGATCGCTGACTGAGTCCATCATAGAGCTTCCTCAGTTGTAAACACGCAGCCCTCCGTTTCACGATCAGCCAGCACAAAGGCGCAAGTGTTGCTTCTGTATGGTGAGGCAAGCAGAGTTCAGGGGACTTCCCAGAGTTCACAGCAAGCACGCCTAACAAAAGGCAGAGAGGGGTCTGTGAGAATGCAACAAAAAGAGAGACTGGTGTGGAATAACCTGTATGGTTTGAGTGAAAGTACCTGGAAAAGAGCCAGAGGTTGAGCCTGTGACATAAGCAATCTGGCAGGATGTGTTAAAAGGTGTTAATTACAGCTAAGCCACATGATTTCACTTGAATTCTGAGCAAGTTGGGTATGCTTCAGAATTCAGATATAGATCATGCAGTGCCTGTATTTTTATTTATTTTTTGGCAAACCTTTTCTTTAAAGTTCTGCTTGAAGAATCATCAAAAGTATGAAGATCTCCACCATGCTGGAGGCAGCAGAAATTCCTTTCATTAGGGAGTAATATTTAACCCCTTATTCTCAACTGGGAAAAGTTATGGCATAAAATCAAATCAAATGCAAATTAGCAGCCAGGACAACATAACACAAGACTTTCAATGCTTTTGAAATAAGTATCATATGCTCACCAAGGCTGCTTTTGTTAATATGTTAGTATATTTTAAATTGCAATTTATTCCTGTGATGCAAAGCCGAATTTTCAGCATCTCCATTACTGCAGTCTTCAGTGTCACATGATCTATCAGAAATAATTCTAATATGCTGGTTTGCATATTACATAATATTGATTTGCTTAAGAAACATTTTTTACTATTATCAAAGTTGAAAACAGTTGTGCTGGTTCTATTTTTGTGGAAACCATGCAAGTTTTTTTTTTTCAGGATTCTTTGAACTGAAAGTTCAAAAGGGCAGCATTTATTCAAAGTAGAATTCTTTTGTAACATCATAGCTGGCACTTTTGGTCAAACACTGAGGTTCCCTTAATACATCTCTCTCAACTAATCAAATCTGGTGCTGTTGCATCATTAAAATATTTTATATATATGTCATCTGCAGCATGCTAGTCTATTCGCAGCGTACAATGACTTTAAAATACTATTTTCCCACTTCCTCCCCAGCTCCACCTGTCTAGATCTGGTACAGGTATAAATATACTGTCTGTTGTGGATAATATATAAATTTTATATTCATTCAGTATATTCATATTTTTAGGTATGTTTTATTCACGTTCATTGCTTTCAAAGCTATTTTCATCACAAATCATGTCATATAGTACACATTCACAACACACTGATTGTCCTGTAGTGATTACAGTGTCTACAGAGATCACTACAGAGGCCTAGAATTTAATGTAATGAAAAGTACCAAATGTTAGGAAACAGATCAAATAGAGGAGTCTGCTGCGGGGATGTTTTTGTCACATTTAGTGGCAATTTGCCCTGGTTAATTTCTGACCATGACTGGTGGGGATTGAGGGCTGGGCTGACCATGAGAGGTTTGAGGGCTGCCTCTTATGTTGTACAAACCACTAAAAGTGGCATCTGACAGCACTGTTAAAAATCGGCATCGTCTCGTGTCAAGCAAAGAATGTTTTGTTGTGCGGCTTTCAAAACTGGTCTGCAATTGTTCCCTTTCGAGGACTTCCCTCTGGATGACTAATGGGGAAAATCCTTCTAATAGACAGATCGTGCATTAGGACTGTAGGGCCATAGTACACAACACATGCAACAGAGTTTTGAGCAGAGCATTGGCTCTCTCGGCTTACCGGGAGAGGAGGCCCTTAGATTGTGCTTTCTCTTGCTGTATTGACTTAAGTGGCTGGACAACCTCCAGGCCAAGTAATGAAACGCTCCAACCTAAATGTCGTAGGCCCGCCGATCAAAGTGTTTGTGGAAAGACGGGTTCTTGATGTGGTTTTGTGGCCACTGAGAATTGTTATGCTTTCAGTGATGCTTCCACAAGACAGATTAATCTCCTCCATATCCTCTGTTTGTGCAAAGAATCCTTTGTATTGGCTTCCCAGGATGCCAGGCCCAGGTCGTCCCACCTATTCCCCTTACTCTCTGGCCATTTCAAACAGAGCAGCCCCTGCCTGCTGTCCCCGGGCCGTCTGACCAAACACACAAAAGATCTCTTCAGCTTCCAGGCTCTCTGCTCCCCCCTCCTTACAGAGTCGTTCTGAACAGGGCCATGAGAATCTCAGAGAAACATCACAGCTGACACCCAGTTTTGTGCTGAAATATGCGATGGGCTCACCCTCAGGGGTTGTATTGTATGGACGAAGGCTGGAGTCCAGTGTGGATTTGTCTAAGGGTGGTTCACAATTAATGACTTAATGATTGGTGTGCTCTGTTTAGTTGTAATGATGTGTGCACACCAAAAGCGAAGTGATTATTTGCATTGCTTTACAAAAAACATTCTCGCAGGATGTTTTTTTGTGTCACTCGCGCAAATAAAAAAAATTGTGTAATTCTCTCCTCCATTTTCTGATACAACCAGATGTGTCAAACCGAGCATGTCAATAAGCTATAACAACTATAACAATAACAATGCGTCATGTGAATTTTCCGTTTGAATTGAAACTTTTCAACAGAAGATGTGACTGAGGTGTATATTGTGTGTTCGTGGCAATTGCTTTGGCCAATGCACGTCATTCACATTGGCTGGCGCGAATTTGCGTCTTTACATTGACTTTGTATTTAGTATGTATTTGCATTTAGTACTTTGTATGTAATTAAATTAGCTTTTGGTGTGCACACATCATTAGACAGGAAAACCCTCTAAGAGAAATTGCATCTTTACAGCACTACACCCTAATTTTTAAAATTAAACAAATAAATAAAAAATATTATTGCAATAATACTATTATACTGTAAAATAAGTAAATGTATTATTATTATTAATAATAAACAATCACATTTTTATTTTGGTGGAAAGCTGCAAGGAGGCTTCAAAGCTCTTTTAAAAAAAACATATTTATAAATGATTCTAATTACAACTTTGGAAAGATGATTGCTGCTTGTTGTGTTTTAAAATGCCCATTAAAAACAACTCAGTCTCACTAAACTTGTAAGTAGAGCAGCATTTACTGTGAACCATTTTGCTCTGAGCCGCTGAAAACAGCAGATCATGAGCTGCTCATGTGTAAATGAACACAGTGCCATGCTAAGCAGCCAATTATTGTCTAGTTGGTGAGTATCAGTTTGCTGTTTTTACTCGTATTTGGTGCATTAATTCATAAAATTAATGTATTTGAAAATGCAGTAATTTTCTCTCAAATTTCACAGTTCAAGTAGGTCAAATTACAGGTCACAAAAAAGGAAATCCATATTAATATGGAATAATCACATCCCTGATAAGTAATCAAAGCTGCAGTCCATAACTTTTTTGTGTTCAGAATTTACAAAAGTAATATAATAAACGAGAAAATTAGTATAATAAACGATAAATCCTAAAGTTCTGGATGTTGATATCTAGTTTACATGATAATAACTGCCTCTGATGTCTTTAACCTATAACCTTGCAAATTTTGTCAAAGCCATTGACTGGTTCTTCTTCAATTTTACTTGATGGCCTTTTTCCGCTGGACTCCCCTGTATGGGATTACATCTTTGCCACAGTTCTGCGCGTGAAAGATCATATTTTGAGTGTGCAAAACGAACTGAGTTTTGTGGAGAAAATGTTTGTCTCGCAAAGAAGAAAGTATTTAGAGCGCACGAAAATCAATTTTGCATTTTAAAATAATTTTTTGGATTTGTGCAGACCTTCTCTTTTGCACGTGCAACGTTTCACTAGCTTGCTCCCTTGATGCCCTCAGTGCTCTCTAAATGCCAACAGCTCGCTTGCTCAACACAACACATTTAATGTTACAATATGCCATAATTCCAGCCAATCAGAGACGAGGCTGCTAAATTCTGATTGGCTGCCTTGACACCCAATCACAGAATTCCTTGCATTACCTCGACAGCAGAAGAGAAAAAATACAGTGCATGCATAATTATTATGCAAGTTGATATTCTGATAATATATTTTCCAAGCGCATTTTATCAATTCCAAACGACATCAATCTTAATAACTACTATTAATCTTGTATTTAATCATTTATAATTAATATATAATTATTCATGAAGGCTGGAAGTGAAAAATGTCTTATATTCAGGTGTGCATAATTAAGCAGATTTTATTTTACAGATAAAATGAGCCAAAAAAGAGATTTAACTCAGACTGAAATTTTTCCTCTTCCGCTGTCATCAGCAATGCAAGGAATGTTGTGATTGGTTGTCAAGGCAGCCAATCAGAATTTAGCAGCCTCCTCTCTGATTGGCTGGAATTATGGCATATTGTAACGCTGGGTTGTGTTGAGCAAGCGAGCCATTGGAATTTAGAGAGCACTGAGGGCATCAAGGGAGCAAGCTAGTTAAATGTTGCACGCGCAAAAGAAAGGGTCTGCACACATCCAAAAACTTATTTTAAATGCAAAATTGATTTTAGTGTGCTCTAAATACTTTTTTCTTTGCAAAACGAAAATTTTCTCCACAAAACTCAGATCGTGCGCATGCAAAATGCACTTTTGTGCGATCAAAATATGATCTTTCTCGCGCAGAATTGTGGCAGAGATGTAATCCTATACCCTGTGTCCTTGCTCTTAGAAGCTGCATAAAGCTGACCATTCAGATTAAAACTGACACTTTATGTCAGCACTTGCCATTTCTGTGTGCAGTATGCATAAGCTGACCAGTAATCAGAGTGTGAGCGGTCCACACACATGCAACGGAGCATTGCATTTTTAAGACAGTGTCAAGCTCAAAATAGATAAACTTTTAAAAATGCACCTTGAGATCCATGCACTCATGTTTTTGAATACAAAAATGCATCCTATGTGAATAGCAACTAAAGGCAAGGCCATATTAGTGAAATTGGAGTTAAATTTCACGAGTGAAAAAGGTCCATTGTCTCTTTTCAATAGTGTAGAGATGTAAGAAGCACCACTCACACAGAAGTCCCTTCAAAACCAAGTGGGTTTTTGTTGCTCAATGTGGCAAATTCATGTGACCAACATGAAAATGAGTAAAACTTGTGTATGGAAGTTTTTTCCCCTCACGTGAAACTCCCAATTGTGCAGATTCCTATTAGAATAACTGGATTTCGCACACAAAATTTTGCAGAGCAATGGCAAATGTGACCGCATGTTAAGAAACGTGTGATCATGGATTATTCAAGGCATTCAGGAAACCCAGTATAGTCAAAAAAAGACACATTCCTAGATTTCATTGTGTGGACACTATTTCTTCACAGACTAAAAGTCATGAGTACAGGGAAGCCAGAAGAGAGGAGGAGAATGCTGACCTGCTTAAGAAGAAAGAGGAGCAGAGGAGAAAGGTAAAGAACAAAGGAAGCAAAACAGATGTTCTGAACATCACCTCCACTTTTGGTTCGCAGGAACACCACAGCAAAACGTCTGGGCTTTGCCAAGAAAAAGAACTAACTCTGCCTAGCATATGCTATTGATTAGCATGTTCTAGGTTATAGGAGGTAGTGATGGATGGAGTAGTGTAGGTGTTTTCCAGCTGGCTGTATAGTGGTATTTCTGTGGCTTTGAATGCCTCTACGTCGATCAAACACAGACTTAATTTACTGATATGCATTGAGGACAAAAGGTCAGCCTGGCCTATCATGCTGATATTGTTGTTTATTCATGCAAATATGCAATTAAATTGTTATAGCCACAGAGCTTGAGTCCCTTTACATAAGTAGAGGAGACATTTCTGTTGGAGATGAAATTTTCATTAACTTACTATTTCCAGGCAGGAATTTTGGAGGAAAAACAAAAACAACAGGAGGAGGACAGGAAGAGATGGACTGAAGCTGACCATCGGCGGTATGGGCGCCTAATCATGACAGACTGCTAAAAAAAGCCATGACTGTCAGAATTAATAAAGGCGTCTGAGACCACTAGTAAAAATGCTTATATTAGGCATTCTTCTAATTTTTGTTTCTAATGATGACGAAAAAACACATAATTAACCTGTCATACAGAATATGATTTTTTTCCCCCTGTGAAACACCAAAGGAGATATTTGGCAGAATGTCTAAGCTGCACAATGGAAGTGGATGGGAATCAGCATCTGTCTGGCCCTCAGCTAGAAAAGACCACCTTGGACATTCTATAAATAACTACTTTTGTGTCCCATGGAAGAAAGAAAGTCATACGGGTTTAATGGCACATTTTGAACTTGTATAGACTCTTGTGAAAAAGAAGTACACTTGAGTGAAAAAGTACTTATTAGAGAAATAGCATACTTTAATAGAATACTTGTGTAATTTAAGAATGTAATGTTTTAGACACTTAATTTTATGTTAATAATGTATTATAGTTTAAATATATGCAATTAGCTGAATGTTAACGTGCTTTCTGACCACTTAAGTAGGACTTACATATTTATATATCATTTCATAATTACTTCTTTTGTCTTTGAAATATGTGTGCTGCTGAATGTACTGACAAGCATTTAACTAAATATACTTACGTGTAATTTCTGTTGAAGTTGCATGTAGTCATATTTGTAACTGTATATTTGTAACAATTTACATTTAAAATATATTAACTTTAAATGTAGCATATTGAATAACACTAGTTAAAATTATAATTATTTGACATGTTTAGTATGTTCGTCAACACCTCAAAATAAGTGTACTTCTTTAAAACATGACAAAGGATTATTAAAACATAATGAGGTAAAATGTACTTTAAAGAAAAATAAATTAGAAAAATTACAAAGTGTGTTAGGAAACATGAAAGTCATGAAAGTGCACTTTCTTTTAGTACACTTAAGTGGGCTTTTATTACATTAATATTATATTATCTGTTAGTATTTTTAAAATATACTTGAAGAGTGCAAAAACCGATAACTCCATTTTAATAATTTTTTTTAGAAAGCACGTTTTTTATTGCGTATTCCAAGTAATATCAATCAAACTGCAGTTGAGTTGTTTTGATTAAGTAATAATAACTGAAACAAATACAGGTAATTTACAAAATTGAAGTTCATTGAAAGTATGTTTTTTTACATATTAAAAGTTTGTTTTATAGCAAAAGCAGATAACTCCACATTTCATGTTTTAGAGTTTTAAAAAAAACACTCATTTAATCTTTGTAATCTCCTCAGATGACAATATAGAAGATGCCTGACAAACGTCTCGGGTTACTTATGTAACCATGGTTCCCTGAGTAGGGAACGAGACACTGCGTCCTCTAGGGGTCGCTATGGGGAATGCCTCGTCGTGACCCGTGTCTGAAGCATACTTTGAAAAAACACCAACTCGTTGGCCGGCGACAGCCATGACGTCACTACCGGTGTGACTACAGTATAAATCGGCGCCGGGAGCTACACTGAAAGAGCAGCCCACAGATAAAAATAGCCTATCCCCAGATGCTATATCTACGGCTATAATGCTGGAGTGGCTAGGATCAGATGATGTTGAAGAGAGAACATCATCCTCCAGTGGCTGTCTCTCGCCCCCCGTCGATGAGTGCGAGAAGGAAAGCCCCTCTCTAAACTCATCGGCCAGGTCCACCTGAGATCCCCACGAGCTCATTCTCCTACGTGCCTCAGCAGCGGCGGGTCCTGAACCGCGGGAAGCAGATGGCTGCCCCTCTTTACTTGAAAAGAGAGACAAACGAGAACGGAGCTTTTTCATTGGAAAAAACTTGCAATGCACGCAGATTGCCCCCTCGAGGACATCGCGTGCGTGCTCCTCGCCCAAACAAACAACACATAGATCGTGTGTGTCATCTGGTGTCAAATAGCGATGACACGGATGCACACACCTTCTAAATGCTCTACTAGTGCTCACCATAATAAATAGAGATAGCTCTTACTTTTTCCTTGGAAATGCACGCTTCAAACAGAACAGTCAATGAAGACGAAGAAGAGAATGATGTGTAGCTTCCGGCGCCGATTTATACTGTAGTCGCACCGGTAGTGACGTCATGGCTGTCGCCGGCCAACGAGTTGGTGTTTTTTCAAAGTATGCTTCAGACACGGGTCACGACGAGGCATTCCCCATAGCGACCCCTAGAGGACGCAGTTTGAAGTTCCCATGAAAGGGAACGTTGTTGTTGTTGTGATCATAAACTGTATGGATGTGATTACACGCAATACACAGAGCTTTTCCCTCACCATTGTAATGCGCTGCTTTTGCAATGTTCCGTGAAAACGTTTCAGCTTTTATTTTCCTTTTTCGCCTAGAAGAAGATATCACAGATTCCTCAAATTCGTCGAATTGATCCATCCTCGATCACTTTTAGTCAGCTTTGACGAAACTCCTCTCAGCTTACACGTCTTTTCTAAGTGAAAGTAGCCTTGTCACCTGACCTGAATACAGCGCGCTCATTCGCTAAAATTGACTTATCGGCTTCTGTTCAAAAACAACAAGGGCTCTTGCCGGCTTTTGCAGAAAAACGTGAACTCGCGATGCCTTGAAAGCGGACAAAACCTGCTTTTTTGCCGGCTTCTGCAGTAAAACGTGAACTCGCGATGCCTTGAAAGTGGACAAAACCGACTTTTTTGACAAAACGTGTTTAAGGTTCCGATCGCGCTATATGTGAGGCAATCAGCTCTTTTTTTTTTGGAAAGTGGCGTTTATCGGTTTTTGCAAATGAACTCTACACTTTAAGATTTTAAGCATACTTTAAGTGCACATTCAATACATTTAAGCATATTTCTTTTTCACAAGGTTAGAACCGTAGAAACAGTGCAAAACAGTTCTTTATTTTAAATGTATTGAAATCCTACAATGTGTTGTAGTTTTAAAGGTGTCCTATTATGCTCTTTTACAAAGTCTTGATTTTGTTTTTTTGGTGTACTAGAGCATGCTCTCATGCTTGGTGGTTCGAAAAACGCATTATTTTTCACATAATTTACATTATTAAAATAGCTTTCTCCCCATCCTGGCACAAACGGCTCGATTAGTTCCGGCTTTGATGAAGGTCCGCCTTCCGAAAAACAAAATGTGTTGTGATTGGTTAGATGTTCCAGTGTGTTGTGATTGGCGAACAGCTTAGACGGTGTTTCAGTACTGCCACGCCCCTTGCTCCGTCTTTCAACAAAAGCTTTTTGGCGAATCCGGCAGGCACTTTACTCCCTCGTGTTGTGGAAGCTGTCCTCAGTCAAATGCGCAGCACACAATAGCAAAGAAAAAAAAGAGTTAAAAAATAAATTGCAACCACTGTTTCCTGACATCATCCGCTTTCGGAAGCCCAAACAAAGACATTTGTATACAGAGGTAAAAAAACAGCGTTTCAGGCGGTCGCGC